GCACATTACTTTGCATCAACAGTAATGTGCTGGACTCAAGGTTTCTGCATCCAGGACGCAACGGGCTCGCCTTGTGGTGGTGGTTATAACCGCTTGCATATTGCGTCAGATGTGACGCGCCTACGCCGCCGAGAAATTCGCGAAAGTAACTAAGCATGAGTCCCGTGTGTCTGGTTCATGCTGATATATTGCTCGGTTTGTGCACCGTTTGCATTTGATTTGTAGACCTTGTGTATAAAGCATTTACCAGGTGAGTTAGTTAAAACGAAAATACGGGTAAAAACTGTACATGGCAACACAACTATGGTATTACGTTCCGCGCCGCAATCGTAACTTTGCACTCTGCAGTTGCCCTTGAGCGGATTAAGAGGAGTTACCGTAGGTATTCGAGCAGCCCCGCCGGCCGCTGGTCCGGTTCGGTCCGCTCCGGATCAACTCGTCGTTCAGGACCGGCTGATATAACGTGTGACACAAATGCCCAGTCGAGCGCGAGGATTATAGTTTGAGCGCTCGCGACTCCGTTCCGCGGGATTAGTGTAGCTCAATTAAATGGGAAAACCTATTTCCATTCTGAATTCTCGTCTTTTCTTGTTATATTTGAAAATTACACAAATAACAGAATAAAAATATTAATCTGAACATAAAAGCGAAATCGTATACATATAAAGTATGTGAAACAAAAATTGTCCTCAAGAATCACTTAAGAGTACATTGTCCGGCCCTCGCATTACAAGTCCTTCTGCCCCCGCACCGCGCAGTGTTTCGGCCGAGCCGAACGGCTGCAACAATCGTGAGTGTGTCCGACACGTTCAGTATCCATTCTCATACACGCCCGCTGAAGCTATGTCGACGCAGATAGCTGTGGCCACCGATTGAGAACTGTATTTTCTTCATATGGTTGTGTAGGTTTACACTCTGTTATATTTTGAGGTTTTTTTGTAAGTATCCATTAAGCACTAATTATGTTTAAACTGATTTAACGTTAAAGAACGATGTACGTGAACGGAAGCGATAAGAATAATCGCAGCAAATAAATGGAATAAGAGATTTTTGTGTGTCTAATTACATTATTTGTTAATGCTAGTTACCCAAAACCAGCGACTTCCACGGCCGGTGTGGTTCAAACAACACCAGTTCGCGTAACTGGCTCGGCGTCAACGCCCTCGGCTCCGATCATTTTCAGCAGCGGCGATGGTTCAGGTTCAACACACAAACAGCACAGATTACGAACGTGATAAACCTGTCTTTCAAAATTAATTTCGCTGCTCGAGGCTGACGCATAGCGGAAATTAATTCTATTCGCCGACATTAACCACCACCGTTTCCTAGTCACTAGTGTCATCTCGTTGAGTAATAAGTAATATTATTTATATTAAAACAAATTAAATTGAAATCCATTTGGAGGTATACAGGTGAAAAAAGGATAAGTTCAGAACAACCTAATAGTGAGTGAGTGTGTCTTTGCCTATAAAAGAAGTCAAAGCTATGTAGTGGGTGCGTATGTGTAAATGATGTGTGGTTACGTCGTTGGTTCCTTTACTACGTTAGGTCGTTTTGTTCTAGCTAAAGTGGAAGGACATGGCCTTTCTGTTTCTCAAGATACTTCGGTAAAATGGACTTTAACGGAAGGACTTTTATTTGAGTGTAAACTGAGTACTAAACTAAATTAATATTTGTCTCGAAGCGTGACAAATATTAAATTTTATACTACGATATAATCACCAGCGTCATCATCGATATAATTAAAATTATCTAGAACTAATTTCGTAAGTTAGCTCAAGATAATTTAATTATATCCATTAGGTTAAATAATGGTCTCTGACCGAAAATCAAAAGTCCAGGATCGAGCTTTGCCAAAAAGCTATGTGACGCAACGTTTATTATGGGTAAGGAGAATATATAGAATCGGAACCACTACGCTACGCTTGGAAAAAGGACTTCCAAGCTGAAATGGGATTAGGCTAAACACGCCAGTCGCATGCACCCACCGAGTTGGGCTCACACGGACATTCGGTGGATATCTGCCCAGAACTGGCAATATTAAACAAGTTGAAGAAGTCATTATTAGTCACATTGAATGTTTTGTGTAGAGCTCCTCGCTTGATCATTTTCCTGTACAAACAAGTTCCTTTGACTATACGACAAACATTTATTCACCGAAACGAGTGCGCGGCAATGACCGGCCAGCGTAAGCGCGCGAAGCGAACGTTATTAATGACCTATTTCCGGTTTGGGCGCAGCTTCCGTCTCGCGGAAATGCGCGCACAATACATACAATCGCTGTTTTGATTATAGCTCTCGGTTCACTTATTTTAGCGTTACATTGCTCCAATTACCATTCCAATTTTGTAGTTAATGGAGACAATTAGCGATTCATAATTAAAGCATCGACTCCACAAAGACTATGAGATGTAAAAACGTATCAAATCGTAGGACTTTTATGAAATTATTAAAGCATAATTTTGCGTACAGGCTTCTTGTTTGCAGTAACTTACGATATTTACATTTAAGTGGCAGTAGAGGTACTTGTGAAAGAGTTCGTCCAGGGAAGTGCTGCCATCTTATCTATTTCTGACGTCAAATAGCAATTATGCTCTTATTGCGTTCCGGTTTTGAAATGTGATGGCGCTGGTGAAATTACCGGCACATGGGATTTGTCAACTCGTGTGTGTGTCAGGGTGGCGAGTGCAGTGGCTGTGTCCCTCACATCTTTTCTTTTGCGCTCTGAGTGCCTACTTGCAACTGTTATGGACAGGCGCGTCGCTGACCAGCAGGCGCACGACTTGTTCGTTCCGTCACTTGGTAACATAAAAAACATTTTCTTGATATTTGGCCCTTAAATTTGTACCTGACCTGAAAGGCTGTGCTAATATTGTATAAAACCGCTAAAAAAATGTTAGCCTCGTAATCGTGATTACCGCTTCACCGAGTAGGTATTGCGGCATGGGTTCACCACGGCTCATGCATTTCCATTAGCTATCTGCCGCTGCTACAGCGCGTCTCTGCCGGTTTGCAATGCTAATACTCCTTCGTTTGCATCTTATTGGTCAGCCGTCGAACTACTCTGCGACATTTATCTTGTCCTGATCACATCAAGACTTACTTATATTCAATTTGCTATCACTCGCCATACTAACCGTGTGACATATCCACTACGTTCCAAATATTATATATTATGATATATATAATAACGCACACACGCACACACTCAACATAGCCCCGCACTAGGGAAACCATGTGTCGCGGGTGCCATGGACACACACATAGACAACCACAAATTACACCCAAACTCACGAGAGAAATAAATGTAGGTCATACAAATATTTCGCCCGGCCCGGGATTCGAACCTGGGACCTCTGCGTGGCAGTCGGGCATGGTAACCGTTCGGCCACGGAGGCAGTTAAATATTATATATATGAATATATGTTGAATATGATTGTACGATGTACATTGTATGTTGTTAATGAACTGTATCTCTCCCTGTGTATCGGAAGGTATGATTTAAATAAAAAAGTTCTAGATAATAGACCTGTTCATTATACATGTAATAGCAGCAAGCGTTTAACAAGCATATCTAAACTAATTCCATCAAAATCCAGAGCATTAGATTTCAAGGGCCAATTTTTTTTAATATACATTCATCTCCTACACAATTTATATTAAATATAGAAGAACCAAGTCTACGCGACTCGTAATAAATAAAATCAGTCAAATTAACTTTATTAGAACCAGGCAGGTCTACGAAATATTTATTTATATCTTCAGCAAAAGAGAGATGAGTAGGGAGATCCATATCTGATTCTGGAGGGAGAATATGTGATTTTAAGTTTTTCCATAAAGCTTTAGGATTTATTGTTTGATTATTAACATTATGATTAAAATAAGCACGTTTTCATAGAATAAAGAAGAATTCAGAAAGAAGAAGAAAGAAAATTTTTCAATTGCTTGTAATACTCTCTATGGTATTCATTCGCATATGGGCTTCATTTCTCAGATTCATCATAAGTTTTATGGTGTTAGTGACCCAGGGATATATGTTTGTTTTTTAATTCGTATTAACTTCATTGGAGCATGAACATCATACAAATTGAGAAGTAGTGTATTGAACAAAGATACCATTTCATCAACATTGTAACAGTCGGATACTCTAAACCGTGATAAAAGTTTAAGGTCATAATTAAATTGACTGAGATTAATATCGAGTTCTTAGGTTTCCGCGATTGTTACACATAGGAAATGAAACATGGTCACGGTTGACTACAGTCAACCGTGACCATGTAAACAACCTGTAAAGGGCCCGAAACGTCGGTGCGTTTGAAAAAACAAATATACGCGATTTAAATCCGGAAAAATAGTTTCATTTTCCATGAGATTAATATCCTTTAAAGGCCTATAACTAATTAATTTTGGAGGAATCGTCGTCTTCTTGAAACTATATTCGCAGATAATCAGGGCACGGTTTGCTATTTTACTACCAACCATGTCAATTTTAGCACTTCACGGGAGAGCATCCGTACACACAACGTTTAAGAGAGTCTCGTTATGGTCTGTAAAATGAGTTGGAGATGCAACAACTTTGAGCAGATTTGTCCTGTCTCGCGGCACAGCTCGCGGCACCGCCAGCAGCCGTGGTCGTCGGCGTCGGTGCATGTACTCGTTTGACACGGATTTTGTATACATCGTGAAAGAATATAGGTATTATGAGGATAGTTAATATTTTATTTAGTTTAGTTATTCATTTGTACAATACGTTATTCAATAAACAATTTTTATTTTATTTTATTTTTATCCCATAGTTTTAGGGTCGAGTAAAAAATCTTTCCCTTTTAATTGACTTCAGGATTAAATTTAGAAACCAGTGTAAATTAACACGTCCATTATTCTGTTTCATTTGATTTCCCATCAGAAACTAGAAATAATATTACGTTATCTTTTTCTAGCTTCTCTTTATAATATTCGGTGAAAATAATCGTATAGAGTAATCCCCTAGGATTGTCGAAATGCACATAGAAATCGTGAACAGCAGGCTGACGGCAGCTGAGGCTGGGCGGCCGGACGGCTGGGAGGCTAGGCCAAAATTAAAAAAACGAATGCGGTTACGGACACGCGGTCACACTACAAAGGTCAACCCGGTTTGATGTACAACCATTGACAAAAATAAAACAGTTTACGAAAAAAACACACAAAGAAAGGCGAGTATTTTCCAGCCGTGCAAGAAAGGAAAAATAACACGCTCATAATGAATATCCAATTCAGTGCTGTAAACTAAGTTAATGAATTCTGTATAACCCTCTACGTCGTTTTAGAAGCAGAACTTTGGCACACTCTCCCGATACAATCCTATTAGTTAACGCAGTTATACGCTTGCCATGGATTTGTCTTGGAATACTGTTAGAGAATGTCTCTTGTACTTCATAAAATAATTTGTATGCTTGTCCGCAAAACAGTGGAACAACTGTGTATAGAGAATTTGGTGATTCCGTAAGAACAAATAAGTACGCCGTTGTTGCACGGAGCGAGTAATTTTTAATTTATATCTTAACGTACGGGAAATTTTGTGTCGGATTTTAATTTACTTTATGCAAGTCACATTTTTACCTTAAAAAAATGAAGGCCCCAGACATTTCACAGCGAGATGGAGCACAGAATGCTCGGTGGTGTGTAATTACAGTAACATGTAATTACTGCGCCGCAGGCCGCGGGGCCGCAACGCCGCGGGGCCGCAACGCCGCCGCGCGGCCCGCCGGGGCGCGCTTCCGCGCCGGATGCGGCCCGCGCTTTGTGCCACCGCCTATTGTCCAACCACCAGCTTTTGTCAGTTGCACATATACATACATATCACACATATCTTTATATAGTACGTAAGAAAACAACCTCCCGGTTTCTTTTTGTATAAAAGTCTGAAAAGTCTCACAAGAACTACGAAACCATTGTGTGCAAGCATTTAATTAACACTAACGTAGATATTGTGGAGACGAAGCTGACGTGTCTAAAAGAAAACAAAACGAACTGTATATTTGCGTGTACGTACACAACAACGCGATTTCAAAATGATAATGCCCAAACATTAAGCAAAGTTAAATCAATGGCTCGACGCGATCGCGTAATCCTAATAAGCGATAAACGTTTAACACGCGCACACAAGACACGATTTATGCGTGCGTATTAATGGCCGCCTATCGTGTATGCGCCTGTGTGTAATGCGAGCTAAACATTCGCCATAATTAACCCTCATTATGGCTCGTTCAAACCCTCCCCGCGACTCCCGCTCAGTAAACGTCCATTCAAAATAACATATTACAAGAATGCTAGTCGTAACAAAAACTTTTTCCTCTACATATTATTTCATTTGCTCAAAGACCAGTTTTGTAAAGACGGCACTAACAGAATGGCAGAGTTTATTTACTCATTACACTAGGCCATTGTGTTAGACAACGGCGTTTGCGGATGGCGAGTAGATATAGCAGAGGAGTGTGTTGAAAAGAGTGTCTGTTAGACGTTTTGTAATTTGAAGATTATTCAAAATAAATCCATTCAAATTCCCAAGTTATGGTTTATAAAATTTATACTAAAATATTATTATGGTCTTTAAAAAAATTGCATATTATCGGGGTTTTGTGGAGTTTACGAGCTTTTAGCACTTGTAGTATTAAAACTACCTAATTTAACTGAAAATGGGTATATTTACTGACTTGTTTTTACATCATATCTACTGACTGAGTTTCAGAAGTTAATATTCAAATCCGATTCTGAACTCAGTATGTAAGAAGATAAAAAACAGAAATAAGTAAAGTGATGAAAAAAAAAGCAACGTGGAACTTAACATTGGATAGGACGTTCTCCGATCAAATCGAGAATGTTCTTAAAAAGACAGGAATGCGTAGTAAAAAGAAAAGGAGGGCTCATTAAACAATTGATGAATTGTTTGATGAATGAAAATAAAATGATGCAAGTGATTATTGCCAGGACCGTGCAAAGTGGCAGTCAATGGAAACCCAAAGATATAAGTATATTCTACGTATGAATGTAAGAAGCGAGCTCATAGCACTGTCCTCTCAAGTGTATAATACATATGTTTGTTGGGGTCGTAATATGACATGATTACGTGACGCAATACTCCATGATTTGAGGCCGCCTCACCCCGTACATCCCCCGGGACCGCAATGACTACACGGCGGTGCAAATACACATCTGCGTCGAGCAATTATTCGACGCGCAAAATATTATATTAGCACTGTCTCTTCACTGTTTTTGCCAAATTAACAGAAGAGTAACTCCGCTAACATTACGTAACTTATATCTAACTAACATTTTCATACGTCACGTAAGTTATGGATGTAATAATTAAAAGAAATGTATATATAGCCCACAAGTGTATAGGAAATGTAATAATAAATAAATAGAAAAAAGTAAATCCGTAATCCATTCGCACCACTGGGTTGGTCCGTTTAGTCATCCAAACATTATGGAATTGTTTATTCCGTGTCTGGTCATAAAGAGTCCACTCGTAGATTGAGAGGCCTCTTTAATCTGTGGTCGTCCGTCGTCGGACGTCCACCGCCCGGCGCCGCCCGCGGCCAGACCAAGCGTACAGTAAACTCATAAAGCGCTTACGGCAGTCTCGAGTAAAATCGTCGGCGATACATTAAACGACCGCAATAAAATGACATCTACGCTCATTAAATTGGACATCAAATGGATAGCCGCTGGATATCTACATCACATTCCACTTCTAAACATTCAAAAGTCATTGATGACAGTCTAACCCCGGCGGACAGTATTCAAACTGTCGCAGGCGTAGAATGTGTCGTGTGGTGTCTAACGCTTCGTACTTTCGGTATAAAATAATATCAAAACTGAGTTTACCCACTCCCAATTTATTCTATATACCATTTTGTCGACTTGAATTCGAAATGTCTAATCTCAAGATTTCGAATGCACTTTGAGCGTGTGACAAATGAAGTAGGGAAACACATCAGAAACGAGAGTTCAATGTATTTGATGTTGCGACAATGGCAGCGTTTTTCGCGTAGCGCCTCCGCGTGATCGCCGACGGTGATGCCTTCGGTGGATTTGAATCTGCGCACGCGGATTTAGGTCGCATGCATATTAACACATCGAAGGCTCCCCGGGCCTTAACACAGCTCCGAAGACACCTATTTATATTTATATTGATTTATCAGCTGCAGGACTTGCAGAGAACAAATAACCAGAAAAACATTGAGTGCAGGTAACATGCGTTTTAATTCACTCCCGACTTTTTTGGAAGCAAATAAAAACGAAATACAAAATAATGATGCGGTACACTTGCACATTTTTTAATGTTGTATGAGACAATATAACGTACATGTTTAACTACGGACGGAACTCCAATAATTTAAAGCGTTTCTGAACTTGGCACTTTATATACATATATTACTTTATATTACTAGGTATCGGGATTTGGACCGACTGCGTGGTTAGCAAGACCGTGAATGTTTGGTGTCGGAGAAGGGTTGAACAGTTAAGTGAACTTGCTATTATTAATGTAGTTTCCAACAAGCAGACTGGACCCCGCCTTGCGTCATTAGGCAATTCTAAGTTAAGCGAATAACTGATAAGTATGTGGCAAGTAAGTTTAACCCTTTCAACTATTCACAGGTATTATTATTAACATAACGTATTAGTCAGTCATGCATTATGTCTTTTATAGATGCCACTACAACTAGTGAACGTTGGGAGTCAACTCAGTGTACTACTGATTTTCTCTTTTGATAAAAAAACTGTCAAAATCCCAGCCCATTCTCTTATTTTCCGCAAGCAAGGCTTTTTACGACAGGCTTTTCTCATTTTAGCAGTTTTTCCTATCATAATAGTTGTCTTTAAAAATGCAAAGTTGTGAGAATGCAAATCAAACACACACAGCACTGGCAACGCGAGAACCGCTACGAACCGTAGCACGTCTACACCCGTAACATTGCACCTCATGAAATTACATTTTAATATTTGTTAGTAGCTCTGAGTAATAATGAGCGTTATACTTCATTAGTTCTGAGTAAGGTATTTCACTAAGTAGAATTTGGTAGTAGTGGTATCCTTGAAGCGTCCTACTCTACCTGCATTGTATTGCACAAAAAAGCTACGGCGTAGCACCGCGTAAATACACAATAGCAGTTGAGAGTTATCTATTAACTCTGAGGTATGTAAAACAATAAGTCTCTTTTACGTTCTCTTTGGCGTAAAATTTTGATGAGGAAGAATGATGCCTTAGCACGTATGTCAATCGCCATATAACGGTATATCGAGCACCTGCTGCTTGTGCTAGCACCGGCCCCCACATCACCCGCGGGCGGTTTCCTTTTGGCGCCCCTGACACGGTAAAGCGTCGTTTTTATAGTCTCGGAGACGAGGCAGTAAATTTGAGTGCTTCTGGCCTAAGCTCTCCTAAGCCGGGGGCGTAATTTCGTTTTATTAAGTTTCTTGCCGTCATACAGGATATTAAACGGCGCGTCCCGCTTGCCGCGTGAACGATGGGCGCTCCCTCGCCACCATTCCCGCACCGAACTCCGCTGTCCGTCTTCAGTTTTGCTTCGTAAGTCATCGTTGTAGTAAGGTCGTAAAACTTCGAACTATAACGCTTTATTTTTGATTAAAAAGGGTTTATTTGTTATTAAAAAGGTAAGTAGGTAGGTTAAGTTCAGCCAAAAATAAACAAAGTGTCGTAATAACAAATCTTTAGCATTTTACAAACTGATAGGCTATGAAAGCGCAGTACGGCGCACACGCCATTACGCGCCCGATTACTTCCGCGCGTCGCCATTCACTCGTCAGTGTGTCGTCGTCAATCGGAACAACCCCTACAATTTGCCGCTTACCGCCTGCGAACCACTAGATAAGAACAAATATGAACATCGCGGTAATGTTACACATTTTAGTTCTCATTCTAGAAAAAATCCACCGACTTAAATTGGGCTTACATGAGGACAAATGTTTTAGACATTCCTGTGATAAGGATCTTTTGTTGTTTCGGAGGAGCTCATTTATACAACTATGCGTAGCTGACTTGTACAACGATTACAAATTCAGTTAAATTCTGATTAAATTAGTCAGATAAAGACGAGCATCGTTTCAACACTTAATATTTTATTCCATGCTTGTTTAGGTGTTACAGCCGATGCGCGGGCAATAAAATAAATACAGTTATGCCTATCGTTAAAATCAAGTCACGATGAGCGTGTACACGTGCTACAATTTTTAAAATTAACACTAATTCACGCACTAGACATTACCAGGAAATGAGGATTGATGTACGGATTGTTATATTTATTGGGCCGCCGCAAGTCGTCGATTCTGTTAGGCGCTGAGAAGCAATGGGTATTCCAAATCTCTCTCTAAAAAATGTCTCTGTACTACATGCTGCTTGATTAAAATTCCATCGCGCCATTTGTCTTTTTAGAGCTGCGCAGACCCGAACGTACTACCATCATTACTAATCACGATAAAATAATACGACAGACATCCATGACGAGTAGTTAGAAACCAAACGGTCGTATAACAGTAATCATAACATATTATGTTTTGTTTTTGTCACTTCTGTGCCCACTATCATCGTTTATGATGCACGCACACGTACCATCCGTGTCGTAGTGTTCTGGTTACAGGATTAACAAACATCGCTTCTACCTATTTTGTTATTTAGGCAAGCTCATTGTCTGGCTGTGATAACAACAAGCTCGCAATCCAGACAAATGACGGCGCTAATCCGGCTGACTCGGCGGCGTGATGGCGCGATGCTCGTCCCTCCGTCACACGCGGCGAGGAGAGACCCCTGCCTGTTTTCCGGCACGTATCAACGACGCCACGAAACGCAATAAGCTACGTGCTCTGGTTAAAAGCACACATTTTTAAATTTACAACCATTTTATGCAGTTGTCTGTTTCGTACGGGGACAGTCTAATCTTCTCATGCTGCATTACTTTGCATACATCGCGGTTGAGCTCGTCGGAAAAATTAATCTGCATCTCGTTGACAGTGACGTTTATTTTTGTTTCTATTTTTGCACATTTTCGTCTTGCGTAACAAAGACGACTATAGAAAGTCGCAGAGTGAACGAACCAGTCTTTGTCCAAAACTGTTCCAGCGTCTCAGTCAGACGTGGTGAGCAATTTCAAAGTGGAAGTCTGTAATCCTTCGCATTAATTGTCGCGAGCAATCTCTCAACAATCCGAATGGAATTCGCTTTGAAGTCGCTGTTATTGCGCCGACTTGTAGGGAAACTTTGAAGTCGGCCTGTTACTTACAAATTATATCTCCGTGCTACAGGGAGTTAATTAAATATTTGGCTAGCTGCCTCACTCTGATTCTGTGCAGCCTTCGCGTACTTATACATACTTTACAACGTTGTAATTGCACATGTTCCACTGAGCATAGGTGAGGATCAACATTTATGATCTTTCGAGTTAACATCTTGATTAAACACTTCGTTGTGATGCTGTGAGTAATCCAAAAAGGTAAAGCAATATTAGGTACCGGTGATGTCTCATGTGCCGTGTGTATTGTCTGCAGCGCGGTGGTGCACCAGCCAGCTGGTATTCCTGGTGGAGCCGCCGCCGCGACTGGCATTCTCAAACAGCAGCGGCGCACGCGCCTCATGCGCCGCGCACGGCACGCCGCCGCCCCTCATCACCTGGCTCACCGAGGACGGCGTGCCCGTAACCGACGTGCCGCATCTCAGGTAAATCGATCAGGACGTTTTGAGATTGAGATTGATGTCGCAACAATATATCCTATGAAGTATTGGCCCGAGTAGCAGTCACAAATAAACGAGACTCTCATTTAGAACGCAATAAGTTGTATTCTAATCCGGTGTAAGATCAACATTCTAAAAAGGTAGTGACCTTTTTAGTGATGTAATCTACATCTTAGAGTAAATTTCGTGTGTTAATATATATTTCTAATTAAGTGATATATTCCGACTGCAAAAGTTCATAAACATCCGTAACGATAGTCCGTAGGAATTGCGCTATATCACGTATGAAGTGTACTCATTTTACACCAATCATTTCGTTATGACAATCTAGCATTTAGATTGCGGACGCAAAGCACAATAAGTATTTTACAATAAAATGTTTTAAATAAAGGAAATCAATGGGTTGTATTACACACAAAATTGTTAATTCACAATGAATATCCATATTTTTGCACTCTACAGCACATCCGTAAACTATAGTTAAGTGAAGACATTTTTGAGTATTAGATGTGAGGTTCGTGGTTCTGACATCACGACAGATGATTCAAATACATCTTAACAAATGTAGCTCAACGTACGTTATTTCAACCACCTTTCACCAATTCGCTGCAGACGAGGCGCAACCGCAGAATAACAGCCAGCGCAGATGACCACTCAATATAGATGGCGTTATTATTAGCAGCTGCGTCCGATTGGCGACATGCGTCACTTACACAAAGACAGTTGCCGGCTCGTCGCTTAGTAAGCCAGTAGTCAAGATTGATGTTCGGTCGACTGACGGCGCCCGGCCGATTGATCCCGCTCATTCAAGGAACGGATCGCTGAATGATGCTTTTATCGCCAGGCCTAAGGCGAAATTAATTTTTGTCGCAGTTTTTGCTTCGATAACGGCCAGAAATCTTTTCGTTGAACTAATTGATGGAAATCAATCGGATGTGTTGAGATTGATTTACAGAGATGTTTTTATTATCTGTGGTAATTAGGTACAGTATATACAGACGTTTAGGTTTAAAGTTTGGTTTGTATTTGTGGTTTCAACTATTATACATAGTGAAATAGATAGATGAAATAACAGCATCCTACTCTCGAGGAATTTTGCTAAAATTGGTTACAAAACGAAAATCAAATAACCCTCGGGAATTTCATCTTCAGGTAAAATGTTTTCGGGAAGCAAAGGAGTGAATCAGAGCGTAATGAGGCTTTAATGTAATCCGCTATTCAGCGTCTCTCGGTGGCGGACGCGGACGGGCCTGCGACGGTCGGACGGGCCGCCTGCGGGTCGACCTATGCCGCGACTACCTAATGAATCTCATCCACTGCCGCTACTTCTCAACAGTACACTCGTTCACATTATGAGGACTGTGATAAGACATTCTGTTCATTAATTGTGCCGGGGGTAGTTAATTTCACATGCCATTAATATTGTCCCATTCCGCGATGTCATCGGCGCGCGTGTTCATCACTCGGCGCCGGCGGTGAGGCGAGTCATTACGTCTTCAGTAGGTAATTACAATAGCAGCATCAGCACGCAGTAGAATGGCAGCGCGGGGCGCCGCGCCGGGCGCGCGCGGCTCGTGTCAGCGCCGCGCTAACGAAGACAAACGGCCTCGCCGCGACGTAAGCCGCGCCGTAAATTGGGAGATACAGCGGCGTATAAAGGGCTCATTCTGGAGTCGATGCTTTCGACTGTAAATCTTTGTGTGATGTTTTTAGCCAAACGGCAATTAAGAAGTGGAACACGAGCAAGTCGCTGATGTCGTTCGCTCGCGCTGCAATTTCATACTGCTTTGCTACTCTAGGTGCAGCAACAACGTTTATTTCACGATGCATTCTACTGTCGCAATTGCCATCAAACCTTAACACCGTCGAGTGACGCGATGACCTTTGAACCGACAGCTTCAACTTCCCAAACAAAAAACAACAAAAGGGGTTCTCATCGTGTCATGTACTACTTACTACCCTGGCATGGTTTGCTGGCCCATGTGCATAATTTATCAATCATTTATCGCAGGTGCGGGAGGGGGGCGGGAGAGGGGGCTCAGTGGGCCGGAATAACGACATCTGCGCTGATGGATAATGAAAATTGGTCTCCGCAGGCCCGTAACAATTTTCACGCCGTTACTTGAATTCGACCCGAGTTTATTTAAACACAGAGAAGTGATTAAACGAAACTTAAATGTTCATTACCTTTGTCTACGTGTTAAAGCTTATTGAGGGTGGTGGTAGTATTTTAAGGCATTAATTATCTAATGATCCGAGTTAAATTAGAGTCGATACGGAATATGTTTCAAATACTACTGTGGGCTTTTGTGTAAGTAGGTTATCAAACGGTATGTGATACATGTGACATGTATACGACATGCCATCAGCAGGCAAGATGACTGGCACTGCGGCCCCCGGGGCCACAGTCGGGGGCCGGCCCGGGCCGGGCAGCGCCTCACCATTAATCGCCGACCCTTCCACGTGATCGCGCCGCAATGAGCTGCCATCACCGCCCATGTATGTACACAGTCAACCAACTTCTGCAACCTTACATCGTCATAACCGTAAATATAACAAGTGACTGTATGGCATTATATGGTGTAAGTACTTATCCAATGTATCAATTATTACTTCGTTAACGACTGTACATAAAAAACGATACTTAAAAGGAGACATTTATAAGGTGTTATCTGTCATCTTCGTGCAGAGTATGCCATAAATTCTGTTCATAACAAAAAAGCATCTTTATGAAATACAAGTCTATTGTGACTTCCCATTGACATATCGGTTGACGATGCACAGGCATTATAACAGGCCACGTCTCGCACGTCGAAGTCAGCACAACCTGTGCGGCGGACCGTAAGCCAAGCGGTGTGACGGACGGCCGGAAATGCTCCCATTCATCTCAGCGATATATTCTATAGGTTAGAATATTCCACCTTACGTACCACATTATTACCTCATTTTTCTTTATTTTATATTAACGCGTACCATGACGTGATGGGGATTTACGTGGAAACGCGAAAATCTTCGAATGTTTTAACGAATAACCATAAATGCCAGACAAGTCACCTAGAGGCTCAAAGGTCTTGCATTATACAAACTGCAGCAACGGCGTGCTTTTATGTTCAAGTTAGATAGTTTTAAGAGAAATATGGCGTTGATTACAGAACTATAGCAGTGTAATAATTACTAAAAACGACACAATTTTCTTCTTAACATTCTTTAACTACGTTTGCTCATAAAATGTGGTAAACATGAATGAAAACTGGATCACGTATCTGAAGTTAAGGCCTCATGAAGTTACTGTTTTATTTTACTCATTCTATAAAATCAATTCATTCAAAAATTCCATTACAACGCAGTCATAATCATACGCTAGTCTTATATGTACGTCTAAGCAAAAAGTTTTTACGGTATGCGGTAGAAGAAAACGAAAGTCCTTGTTTAATTCTTTTTTCAATTTTATTGTTTACATGTACAGTTCTTATAATGGATCGACACGCACCTTGTCGTCTGGCTTACCTGTTTTAGTACGAAATATATACATAGTATAAGTAATTACGCGTAATATTACTTATCTCCTACCTTTTTCGCTCATTATTTGTGGAATTATTTTTTGTTTTCATGGAAACCAATCCATCGCATTATAACGTCGGGTCAATATAAATATTCAAACGTCAACACTTATTCATTTGCCTCCCTACCGCCTTAATAACACAACTTGTTTCATAAGGTACCTGTAAGCCCGTCTATGGCGCCCTCGCACCGCCCGCGCCGGCCACGTCTCGCCGCAATTCGTCTTCGTTACCCCGCTGCCCGCACCCCACGCCCGCGCCCTCCGCACCGCGCCGCCAATAATTGCGGATGATGTATGCTCCTCCTTCCCCTAACGTTGACTGCAATTAATGGTGTTGAAGATGCTGACTCTTTCAATATAAAACTTTTATATAAACTTTTCAAATATTCAACTTTTGTTTTGTTCGTATGAATGCGCGAACGCAGTGAGTAGCTTCGTGAATTTTAAACGATATAATCTAAAATAATCGAAATAATATTCCTATAATACGTACGTAGAAGATCACAAGAGAAGTTGACAATCCTTTGAGCTATGTCGGTGACTTTCCGACATAGCTCAAAGGATTGTCAACTTGAAGTGTGAGTGGGTAAGGCGCATAGCTCGTAGAACTGACGGCCGTTGGCGCAGAAAGGTTATCGAATGGAGACCACGAACCGGAAGGCGTTCAGTGGGACGGGCTAGATGGACGGATAACCTGGTAAGGGCTGCAGGTAATCGATGGATGCACGGCGCGTCCGATCGGCTAGTCTGGAAATCTTTGGGGGAGGCCTATGTTCAGCAGTGGATCTCTTCCGGCTGATATGATAATGATGAAATGCGTATTTTAGTTCCTACAAGAGAAAAATGTATTTGAGCAGATGTTTTTAATTAAGGTGTTCTTTCATTGTCCGCTTTTTTTCAGGGAATATAGGGTAAAACCGGGATAGGTGCCGCAGTGGGGTAGGTGCCTGGTTGTCGAAAAACCTAACTTCCCCAAATCGCAACAAGGAATAATTAATTTAAATAATGAGTACAGACACCACTCATCAAAGTTCCTGCAGGGCTTTGTTTGGAATAGACGCGTTTAGCTTGTGCATGCGTTTACCTCCGCGACGAACACGGCACGGAACATAATATGTATATACAATATGTTAAAGATTACAAATCAAACATTTTATTATGAATTTTACTATTTTATTCTAAAGGGCATTTATCCTTTTTATTATTTTCATTGTGTGGCGTCTATCCATATAAAAAGGCATCTCTCCTCAAAAAATAGCTTTGCAAAAAGTCAATTTTTTCAAAATCAGTAAATTCTAGATCAGTAAGATCAAGTCTTAATGTTATGTAAAAGATTAAACTAGTTATAGCCATAGAAATTATTCATGATAAACTAATAATTTTTAATAATAATAATAATAATAATAATAACGTTTATTGCAAA